TTCACTTTATTGTTAAATCTAGTGCTGACAAGGATATCGTCGACTTCATATCACTTTAAATGAATCTAGTGATTAAACCTTGTATCCTTTTCCCCATTATTATATTCTTTTTATTATATAAATTTGGTATACAATAACTCCGTTATCACTAACAATACCCGAACATGTTGGTAAATTCTTTTATAATATGTAGACTTACTTTAAACCTCATTCAGGCCCTCCGTAGTCACAGAGAGCCTGAGGCACCTGTCATTCCAGCTAAACGGCATACTTGACGACCATCCGGCCTTCACTGATTCCTCGATCCAACAATGCGCACCGGTCTACTCCACTTGGCCGCCCAAAGTAATGGGCACCAGTGACAGCTGTGAGCCAATCGAGCAAGATCCTGGTCGGAGTATAGCAAGTCTAAATGAAGAGGTTAATGGACCTGCACAATGCCACAGATCTACTAGAGAGACGGGCATCATTCAAGAGTTGCAAGTGAGGTCTGCTGGCTGCAAATTTTATATTTACTTGCAGAGCATGAGGTAGCTAATACCGATGTGGCCGTGAGATTTTGCTACTTATACGTATGGTTTTACTACTTGTATTCCTCTAGATAATGTGGGAGAGTGTGGGTGTGTGGATTTAAAGGTAGCTTTCCTGATAGGCAAGTATTATAGCACTATATTCGCATAAACCTTAGCAAATTTATCCTACCCTGAATGAGGAAGCCTTTTGGAAGGTAAATGTGAACTTCTATGACACCATGAGGTCTACTTATTTCATTCTGGGTAGGTTTATCTATGGTTTTATGCAAATTAAAATAACTAGTGACTTGCAGCTGTCCATTTTTCCCTTCAATCTCGTCTGTCCATTTTCACGCTCGTCATTACTTATGCTAAATGGGACAGGCCAAGTCTGATTGTCATCTTACTTTCTGATTTGATCTGAGTTATGTTCACTTTATTTAGTTTAGGGTAATTTGAGCATGAGGGTATATTTATACTTTAATTTGCAGTCTCTTCCAATACGTATTTGGATGATGGTAGTACACTATGTTGTGCGAAAAACCATTTTATGCTATGACACAACTAAGTAATTCAGTAGTTCTGCAACTGGCAAACCGCTGCCTCTACTTAGGTTGACATTTTCCAATCCCAGAAGATCTACTCACCACTGCTGTACGAAGTGAAAAGACTTGCAAATACCACCAAGCATTTGATTTTGGTCTACGCTGTATCCCTACCTACGCCACTATGGGGCGACGAAGTACTCCATCACTTAGAAAAGAAGAACTCTTTCCTGTTCGTTGGATATATATATATGGCTTTGCCATTTCGGTCTCAATAACTTTACTCTCTTAGATGTGTGTGTGTAACTTCGGTCTATTGTTTCGTATTCATTTTACGCATCCTTGGAAATGAATACCCCAATTAAATTCAATTATCTCATTTTTCAAGCTCCATTACCTTCACATCTGTCAGTGTTTTATATATTATTGTTCTCACCACTATTTTGCTCCACCTATTTCTCGCATATATCTATATACCTTTATCCTCTCCCTTTGTCACTCGCCAGTCTGAGTTCCATTAACTCGTTCTAGATGATGACATTAAGCCGAAATATGCAACTTCCGAGCTAGCTAGGCTCCGCTTGTGTATCGGAATTCATTGACACATGTTATAGCTTAATTAATGTGCAGCATTTATGAACAGACTTGGAATTATTCTCCTGTGAGCTGGTGCTGCCTTGCCACCAATCCGCGAATTTTACAAAAAAACTCACATCTGCACCCAACTTTCATATTCCTTTCTCGAAATCCCCCATTTCAATCCATTTCCTAGTCTTCATCTATCCAAACCGTTCTGACTGCCTTTGTATTTGTCTTATCTGGTCTACTCTTCTCTCTCATCCCTTGCTCTCCTACATCGGCCTATTCTATTTCCCATCTGCCATCAGAATACCACATCTTGTAATGCCATTTGCCTTCTCTTTAGCCAGGCCTCAAACTTCGATTGGCTAAGCCCGAGCGCACGGGTACACGTGCGAGAGCTCTCAGCTCTCACAAATGTCCTTTCTAGCCCCCCACCTTAAATCTGATTTGTCTACTTTGTCTTTGGCCTAGATTGTCCATTCTCGCTTGTTTGATCAGACGAAAAGAAGGGGTAGATTCTTCCATTCAACCTTGCAATGCATCTGTTCGTTTTACCGTCTGTCTAGCAAATTTGCATGTTCTCTGCCTTACTCTCTGTTCCGATTATGGCTGTCGCCATTGTTCGTTGGTCTTTCCACATTTTAACTGACTCACGTGGCCACGGAAAAGGTTCAGAGAGGCTGGCGGAATTTTCGTCGGACGGACCAGGGGTGGGCAGTTAGTTGAGGCGTTCATTTGTCCAGGCTTCATAAAATGACCTCACAGATGGTCACTTTCAGTTTTGATATAATGAGACGCGATGAAGGCTTCATGTTGCGGAGTGCGATAGAGAGAAGTATGAGATAGGAGTCTAGCGGGGGTACAAGAACTTGCGTGACACTGATCCTCCCTCTATCCCTGTCTCATTCTCTCGTATGCTCATTCTCCATCTGCCAGGGCTTCTGAGACCTGGTCTGACCTGGTCTGGCTTGATATAAATACCTGTCGCATATCCCGCTTGTTTCCACTAGTCACCCACGCGCCACTAAATCTTCACTGCCTGTCTGTCAGCCCTTCACCCGCCCGACTACTCTCACAACGAAGCCTTGATAGAGCCCGTACTCAGCAGAAGCTTCCTTCGTTTTCGATATAGAGAAAGACCCTGCTTCCATCATATCGCCCTGAGCTTCTCCGATTTTTCAGAGCCTCCGACCTTTAGCACATTTCTTCCTGAGGTGTGCTCTGTAGCCAAGTCACGCGCTAATCTCCTGCCTCTAAGATGCCACTCGGCGTCCGGCAAAACCATACTGCCGATAACCGACCTAACTTGAGAACCACTTCTTTAGCCGCTTCTATAGCGTTTTCGCAGTCTCATCTGAACACCAGCCCTCAGCATGATCAAGAGAATCAGCACGCCGCTATCAATCGTGTATTCAAGGTATCGCCAGCGTCTTTAAAGTCCCGAGGTGGCAACAAAAAATCATCTTCGATTACCCGGCCCAGAAACAACATACATTCTGCCAGGGTTCGATCTTCAGATTCTCATCTCCATGACATCCGGTCCCCTATCATCACTACTAGCAAGGGTCAAGTTTCCTCTAGTCGCAATGAGCGTGAGCGCGATCGTGTCCGCCTCCTAAATCTTGGGTTTGAACGCCTACGCACTGTAGTACCCTGTCGAGAAGGCGAGCAGTTAAGCAAGATTAGCACCCTTAAAAAGGCAATCTGGTACATCGAGCACCTAGATCGCGTATTGCGCGCGCCTCTTTCATCTGGGCTTTGTGGTGCTATTGATCCCGACTCCGGCAGCTCTAAAGGAAATGCTGCCTGGTCAACTCTGCTTCAACCTACGACTGGGCAAGAACAGGATAGTGAGACTGAGTCCAATTCTGACATTGATTTAGACCCTGATCTTGATATCGACACTGGGACGGATTCAACCCTTCTTAATCCTCTTAAACTTCTCCATAGTCCACCAGAGTCGTCATCAACGACAGATGCTATTGACCAGGATAGAGAAACTCATGGCGAGCAGAAATCGGATAACAGGATCAATCATGGCTCTCGAAGCAACGCATCGCAAAAGCATCATATTTTTGGAGCATTGCCATTTTGTCGAGATAGTAGTCGGGCGGGTGGGCAACCCTTTGCAGCAGCCGCTCAGACATGGCTGCAGGCACGACGGCAGGACAGACAGGCAGGATTACATTTTGGAATGGAGACTGAACAGAACCTTAGATCGGCACTACTTGGGGAATATGCCCAACTTGATGATGAAGAATCACTCATTATATCGACTAGGGCCTCATCACCAGTGTTTCCTCCACCTGTGGATGAGGACACCTCCAATACTGCTAGCCACTACTCCCTCTCTATCCCAACCTCCGTTCTCTCTACCACTACAGCTAGCGCTTCTGATCTTAAAATGTCGGCATCATCCATTGCTGTCGTCGATAATACCAGCATCCACACTGGAACGGAACACATTCTTAATAAGATATCTGGGTTTATTCAGGACGGTCTCATCAAGGATGCTTCCGATATGGTGAATAAACATTGCAATCTTGACATTCCTACGGGGCAGCTGGATGCCAATCCTTTACCAACGTCGCCTTTATCTTCGTTTTCATCATTATATCCATTATCAACCTCCTTACTCCCATTATCTTCATCTTCCTCATCCTGCTCACCGTCATTTTCTACCCCACCAACACCTCCAGCAACTTTTCATCGCAATAATGAACAATCTCTCTTGGCCTCATGTTCCTCTCTACCCATGTCACTATCTCTTCCGCTGTCCTTTCATCTACCTCTGGCGCTTCAACTTCCGATCCGGCTTACAGTAGCCAAATCTAAAGGCGACTTAATGACAACATTTTCTCGACCTAATTTTCTCAACACCAAGACAGTTTCATCACCAAAAGTCGATCCATGTAGTATCGCGGAGCCGGATTCGTGTTCAACACCATTAGCCATGGCCGCTTCCGATCCAAATGTCTTATCTCCACATCCACCATTTCTCTTTCCATCCGATCGACCACAACTAACTTCGCCTACTACATTAAGAGCTTCACCATATTCCGGCTTTTTCATTGACTCATGCTATTCCGGAATGACAAAAGGTACAGTCGTTAGGTCTACCGAATCCCCTGAATCTGCGCCCGTTTCCCTTCCTTTACATCACAGTAATCAAAATCAGTCAGAGTGTTCATTCTCAAAGTTTGTCACCTCCCAAAATCCCGCCTTCGATCTACCCACTACATCAGCTCTCGACTCAATAGCTTGTTGTCATAGCAGCATTCATGACCATTACCATGATTCTTTGAGTTCCATTCGATCCAAAAAGACCGAATTTTCGCAATCAGCCTCATCCTCTATGTGGATACAAAAGGATCGATCAGAGTTACCACAGGTACAGTTTACTGGGGGTTCCTATTCGATTGCGAGGACTAGGAAAGGACTCAGGTGAATTATATGCTAGAAAAGGCTTGTCTGTTTCATCTATTTTACTATAGTCAGCATCCTCTTCGAACTCATCCACGGTCCAGTTCGTTGGTTTTATTCTTTACTTCTAAACTGAGGTCTTCCAAATAGATGCGACCTAATTACTGTTTGGCTAGATCGACCCCTGGGTTAGTAGGAGGATGCTTAGCTTCATTATTTCATCTTCTCTACTGCATTCAAACCGTTTTATCTACTGCATC